TTTTTTTACAAATGTCGTTCGAAAAAGTTATCATAAAGTCATAATTTTGACAAACCCATCAATGTTTAAAATAATGTGCTGGTCAAATGGGATTTAGTAAATAGCTATTACTAAGGAAAAAGTTTGATTATACTTGAATTACAATTTCTTTTATTTATTGTTCAGTTAATGTCGGTGATTACAGACAATACTTTGTATCAAGCTCTATAAATAATTCAAGATTCTATCTATATATTTAACTTTTTTTCGAAAATCTCGTTGTGATCAGTGGTGCAAATCAAAGTGGTAGCGATGCGTAAAGTAAAATATGTCAAGACTATTGTAATATATTTTCTTTTATTTTGTTATTTTATTCGTCATCGAAAATTATTGCTTGACGAATAAAATAGTCTAGTATACTAGACCAAAATAAAACCAAAAATATTTAAAATAAGTGCTAAGTGCCCCAATTTAACCTGGAGTTTAATCATATTGTTTTCGTGCTGTCTACGAGTGTTTAATAAATTATGTCTTATAATGTAGGTTAACAATGCATATTAAAGTTGATTTTTGATTATGATTTATATCTTACCCCACACAGCACATGGTTGACATAGGGTCAACCTATGGTCTGTCTAAACCCATTGGGTTATAAATTGGCCCATTATGGGCTTATAATGACCCGGTAGACTGTAAATGGAACCAAACAGGTCGACCATTGTTTGACCCGTGCTGTATGGGACGATTCTTATGTTCCAATTGTTACGCCATTTTTTGAAAATCTATTCGCAACTCTTATCAAGACCGTGTCTATGGGTCTAGGCACAGGGAACACGCAAGAAAGCCGGAGCCTTCCGAAGACTTCCGAAGCCCTTCCTAAGCGAAATCCGATCGAGGACGATAAGAATGGCTCTCTTCTACCACGGACGCTCTCGAGAGAACATATTACAATAAATTACATAATCTTTGTTTTAGTATCTGATATATTATTAAATAAATCCAACGTAACTTGATATATAGTTGTTGGTGTTTGATTTACATACTCCGCTTATTAAACTTTCTTCTATATAAATCTATAATAATTTACGAGTTTTCACACTGATGGCACAGCACAATGTACACATTTTTTAAACATAACTAAACAATATAACGGTAATGTTGACGATTCCCAAATTAGTTGACGGTTTCCCAATTTTGAGAGTCATCATCCATTGCACTATCATACAACTATTATTATCGGCGTTTTCATTGTTAAGTAATGATAGAGATTCAAAATAATTCCACTATGCTCCAATATTAATTATTATTGGAGCCATTTTCATTAGAACCACTCATTTTCCATCCCACAGTTGCATAAGACCATCTTAGAATGTTAGTTTACCAAATTATAGACAAACTCCTTCATTCAGTGTGAATCAGAACATAGGTCAACTTCCTAGTACACATATTTTGGACAAATTGTTGAATTAAAATAGAAGTATCAAATTTGATGCTCATATAGTTTAATACAGACAATAGCTCCTTAATTAAAAAATAAAAGGGCTATGCAAAAAGATATAAAAAGTAGTAAGCAAATTAAAATCTTGATATCTGAACACATGTACAATTTGACTCACAATATGAATTTTTTTCAACCTAAATAGTTTTACTTACCAAGAAAATTTGTTTAGGCGCTTTGCAGAAGGATGCTTTATATAACGCATGACAACTCAATTCTTATAATTAACGAGTGATTTGTAGATAGAATTTCGAAGTTTTATGTTAATATAGTATAAAAAAATGGTTATAATTTCAATAATTCTAATTTTATTTCAGGTTTTCGATTCAGAATGCATTGGCCTGCAAATTTCGAGCGATGGCCATCATGTGATGTCTTGCTCTAAAGATGGAAAATTGGTTTTGTTTGATACAAAAGGAAATGTTACGCAAAAAATCGAAGACACTGGACTTGGTTCGAATCATTGTGCTCGGTTGTCACCAAATGCTAAATTTGTAATAGTCTGTGGTAAGATATTCTGATGATCCTAATAGCCTAGAAAAAGGGAGAGACCCCGACACGTAGTATAAAATATATTTTTGAGAAAAAATTGGGCATTTCGTCCAAAAAGCATAAATGATAATTGCTATGCACAAAAACTTCAACAATATATACAAAAATTTCTTAATATCTATTTCAATGCCAAACTAATTGAAATTAGATAAGGACTAAGGAATAAGGACAGGGGCAACATTTTGTGTTTATCTGTCTATAATCAGAAAATTCTGTTTGTGATTAGCTCGATACTTCTAAAGATTCCATTCTTCAATTATTAGGAAATACTTGTTGAAACCAAATTATTTTTTATCACAGGATTCTCACCAGATGTGAAACTTTGGACGATTGGCGACGATAAGGATAAGGCATCGGCAAGACAAAATCCTTCATCAGGCAGCGATAGCAGTTTGAAAAGAGCTTTTGAACTTACCGGACATTCTGGTTCCGTTTGTGATGTCGCTTTCGAGATGCAGACACTCCGAGTTGCCAGTGTTTCGAAGGCTGATGGATGGCGTCTTTATGACATCGATGGTAAGATATTATTATTGCTACTTGTGAGCACAATACTTAATTCATTCCTCTTCCCTGCCTTGATTATAGATCACTTTTTAATTTACTTTATCCCAATTACTATTTCTTTTCTATTACCTCAGTGAATTACAAGAAGGGTCAATCTCCAATTCTTCTGAAGAAGGCACCGTTCCAAAATGCTTCAGGAAATGTTGGCGCTGATGATGAAGTATCGCACGTGGCCTTATCGCCTGATTCGAGTGTGATTTGTGTTTCTCAGGGAAGCGACCTGATGTTCTATGAAACTGAAGGCGGATCCTTAGACAGGTGCATTGAGAAGGTCTACAGCACAGGTAATAATTAACATTTATAATATTCAGAAATCTATGTAATCGTAATAAAAGAGTTCCAACGATTAAGTGTGCATTGCCATGTGCAGACAGTGTCGTGAATTCGAACTCCAGCTCTGGATAACCTGATATCAGTATCAGGTTATCCAGATATCAATTTTCTTTTGAAAATATATATCTTTTTGAAAATCTCTTACATAGGGAATATGTATACATATCTAATAGATTGTAAATACATATAACTAAACTGCAGAATGAATAACTAAAAATATATTTCTAGGTCCAATCACTGGTGTCAAGTTTGATTCAACTGGAAAGTATGTTTTTTGTACCGGTGACAAGCATGTCCGCATATTCCATAATGTGACTGGATACAAAATTGAAATTAAAGAAAATCTCAATAAATTGAAACACAATACAGGTGTAATGAATTCTGCTACTAGTGAGAGAATTTCTAAGACTATTGAAGACTCGAGGAAGTTTTTGGAAAGTATTGGAGAAGAAGAATGGAAATGAACTGAATAAAACATTAACAGATTGTAAAAAAGTGATTTCATAAAAATAATATATATATATATATATATATTATATATTAACCATATAATTCTTAAAATGTGTACTTTCAATCATAGCAAAAAAGAGAATTTGTTTTTTGTCATTGTTTTTGTATACCTGCTTTATTTCAAATGAAATTGCACTTTTTACAATCTGTGTCGACTGATATACATTATTCTATAAAGTCAAAACATTCCACCGAATATATTAATAGTTTAAATACTAATAAATGATTATATTCTAAAAATACTAATAACATTGTAACTAATACTTTTATATATGTTTGTATATCTTAATATGATTCTATAAAATATTTTTTGTATTATGTTTGTAATAAACAGTTATTTCTGTATGTTTCCTGTATATGTATTCAATCACCTTTACTTAATTCTATATATTATTAAATTTTGTAAAATATTTATGCTTTATTTAGCCAATAGTTAAAAAAACACAATGAAAAATGATTTTACTTATGCAATGATTTCTCAATTTGATGATATAGATTATTTAAAGGCAATTTGATAATATAGATAAACTTTTATTTGATATGATATATGAATGATCTTTTTTTTTTAACACCAATTCTGATGATAACTATTTTCAATCAATCAAAAAATGGAAAGTTCAATTTAATATTGCATATTTATTTGCATATGTTAAGAGAATACTATAATTCTGTGATTTAGTTTTAATAATCGAAAACTGTGTGATAAAAGAAATAAGCTAAAAATATAAATCTATTCAGATTTAGGTATAATACATATAAGTATTGAATAATTTTGTGATTATATGTATTAAATGAGGATATGTAGGAAATACAGTATAAATGCAATTATTAATCAAAAAAATTCAGCAAATTAATCTGAAATGATACCAGATATGGTAAGAGTTTAATATACATAATATATTAGTTAATGATATAGAGATATTAATTAATATAATATTTTGATAATAATTTATAGCTAAACTCAAAAAGTTTAACAAATAATGTCTACTAATTAATATTAATTCATAAACAAGTGCATGCTTGTTTTTTAATAGGTCAACATAAAATCAAACAAATGCTCACACCGTTGTGACATTCACATTTTTTTCTAATATAAAAATATACAAAATTAAATCGGTGCTATGGTCTTACTTGAACATCGCATGTTGGTGTATCGTTTAATTCCATGTAATGATAAGTGAGTAATTCGATTGATAAAACTAAAAAATCGTTCACAAATAATAATAATGTATCTAAAACTTTACCTATAATTATAAAGTAAATAACAAGAAATGTATTTCTGTGCTTTGAATCTTCCGCCATATTTGAATAACAAGCAGAAGTTGGTATTTAAATATTTCTGAAGGTCAATTCCTTTTATTCAGTGTAAACATAAAGAATGTATTTACAAAAACATAATTAGACACAAATATTTTGTATTATGCACGACACATATTGTAAATTAAATAATTAAATAAACATTATAATTTTTTGCATATTTCGCATTGAACGTTGGCTATCCTGTGAACTACAATATGGCCGACATCTAATTTGTACTGTCGTCTAACTCATAATCCAATTTGGAAATAAGTGTAAATTTCGAGCAAAAGTGGTAGTTTAATTTATTATCTAATATTTGTGTGTGTAACGTTAGTTGTCAGTGATTATTATTCTATTGTCGGAGAACATATAGGTAAAAAAATATTTTAATTAGTGATACGGAATCATTTTGTCATTTTGGCATATTGCAATATTGCGTTTTGTGTGCACTTTTAGTGTTTCCTAATATGATTGTGCATAATGCAGGTGCATTGATAATAATTGATTACTAAATTGTTTGTGACGTACATTGATAATTACATAAATCGTTTTTATACGCTATGAGTTTTTTTCACATTTTCTTTGCTCATAACATTTTTTTTCAAAACAAATGATTTCAGCCATCACACTGTTACGAGTATTGACGTACGGGGGTCAAAGGCTAAATTTTCTGGTAAATAGTTTTCGGTTTACCCGTCTGTTTATTTGGAAATTAATATGAAAAACTTGAAATATGCTTTTCAAAGAATTGTAAAAAGTGGGAGCAAAGTCGTGACACTAATTACGTATTTTTTCTCACGGATATGATTTCGAATTTAGCTAAATGCGCTATCACAAGATTACTCATCATTTCAGAATTGCACAATTATCTGGCATGTTTTGTTTTAAATTAAGATTGCAAATGTTTCCAAATTTTAATATTTGATTTTAAAATAAAATTTATTTAAATTGTATTTTTAATTTCTATAATAAAATTATCTGAATAGTATTTCATTTTTTTATTCTAGTAACATGATCCGTAGGCCTGTGGTAGGTCCCAGGAGCAAGGAGTGGAAATGTTGCTTCTGTCTCCACGTTCGGACTGCAACAATATGTCTTGGCATTTGGCATTTGGTAAGTAATAACTTATTTCACATACTTTTTGTATTTTTGTGTATTTTTTGAAAAGCCGACACAAGACCAAATCCCACTTATTGGTACATATAACTTCTACTATAATATGTAAATGCATATCATGAGAATTTGATATTTGAATCATTTTTTTATATTATTTATATCATTAGTATATTCATATTGTAATTACGGTTATGTTATATTTTTGCCTAGTTGCTAGAACTCGTTAATAGATCATCAGTTACATTCACTTATTTATTTTACATTATTAAATTTTAGATTGTGCTCATAGATAAACAAGTATGATTATGCTATTTATCTATTGATTTATGTAGACAATACTTGAAAATATTGATGAAGAGAATTTTTTTTATTATTTTTTTATTTTGTTTATATTAATAATATATTCATATTGTAATTACAGTTATGTGATATTTTCGTAGTTGCTAAAACTCGTTAGATAATCAGTAAGATCTCAATGAGAAATGATAACACATGCATGAATAATTCAAAATAGATATATTTATATATAATTAAAAATATGGTAAACAATTTAAAAGTATGACAATGTAGCATTCTAATAGTTTGAATCACAATATGAATTTTTTTAATCCAGAAATTAAGAAATTTTTAATCCAAAACATCTTTCATTTTGAAGACAAATTATTTATATATAACTTATAAGAATTCAGGTAACTTTCTTTTATGTAATGCCAATTATTTGAAATTATCCATATATGTTGATTATGGATTAACACCTATTTACAATTGTCTTAAAATAGTTGCTTTTTTGCAATATTTTCAAATTTTCAATATTTTTTTATGATATGAACTATTTATAGGTTTATAGGTTTATGAACCTATTACTTTATAGGTTTATACTCTTATATATATATATATATATATATATATGTATATGTATATATATATATGTATATGTATATTCTACTGCTACTGCTCATCTATATATTTTGATTTCCTCATTCAATTTTACATTTATCGAATATTTTTACATATTTATATTTATACATTATTTTTACATGATAAATCTATATCTCCTACTACTACTCCTTTTTATATTTTATATTTTCTCATGCAGTTTTATATCCATAGAAGATAAATTTTTACATAATTATATTTATATTTTATTTTTCCATGATAAATCTATATCTACTACTACTACTCTTTTTTATATTTTATATTTTTTCATTCAGTTTTATATCCAAAGAAGATAAATTTTTACATATTTATATTACATAATTATATTTGAACTTTATTTTTCCATGATAAATCTATATCTACTACTACTACTTCTTTTTATATTTTAATATTTTTTCATTCAGTTTTATATCCATAGAAGATAAATTTTTATACTTTATTTTTCATGATAAATTTATATCTACTACTACTACTCAATTTGATATTTTATATTTTCTTGTTCAGTTTTGTATTCATATTTTATCTAAGATTTTGGCATACTTATTTCCATAATAATCCTATTTCTATTTTACACCAATTTATTTAGTAGTTTTAAACCTTTTCTAAGGCTGCTGGATTTTAACTACTTGCCTTCTCATATTGATTAATTTTACCAATTGATTTAATTTAATTACTACCGATAGATAAAAAAAGATTATATATGTTTCATTTATTCCAGATGCTGCACTTGGTTGCACTATGTGTTCTTGTGATAATTTTGCATTCTCCGAACCTGATAAACCAATTGGAGCACCCAGATCAATCAATGATGGGCGTTGGTGTTGGTTCTATTTCTCGTTATAACGGCGACAATAGCTTGTTAAACAAGGTTGATGATAATGGAACACCTTTGGGAGAAATGGAGCATCCTCCATATGCTTATAGAGACCACTCACTTACATATCGTAAGTACCTAGAATAATTTATAAAAAATTATAATTTGTTATATTAGAAAATAGAACAATATATCATATCATTGATCAATTTGTATGTTTTACATCATATATTTTTTTACCACTTCTGTAATATTGAATTATGATGTAATATTTTTTTTATTTCCATTCAATTTATTTAACTTAAGTATGGAAAATGAGCTATATTATTACTAAACTTTTATTTTGAGTAAGATCATGTTTGTTTCAACTACATTTTAGTTCTCAATTCATTTACAATTTAGTTTGTCATTGAAATTACATTTTACATTATGGTTAGGAAACAAATTACTTTCAAATAATCTTTCAAAGGCATTTCCGATTTGTAGTCTACAGCTATTCTTCTAAACACTATTTGATTCAATATGATTATGATCAATGAATTTTTTTTGATAATATGAAAAGTACTTTTTATTGAAATGGGCAATTTTTTACCATAATCAAAGCATCTGGATAACCCAAACTATTATTTATTCTAAACTAAGTTGATGGCTAATGATATAATAGAATTCTGAAAATTTTGCATATCAATGGATTTGAACAAGTTGAATATGTAAACATATTTATATTTTTATTTACTCTTTTCATTCAATATGTAAATAAGATTTCAATATATTTAGTACATTTCTGAATGGAAACTTGTAGCCTTGAAATTACAAAAAAGATATATTCAAAAAAATTCTGATCTAAACTAATTTAATATATAAATAATACAACTGAGCGATGGTTATGTGACGGTTTTACGAGAGCAGATTTACCGTACGCCACTATCAATATTACAGTTAACGCCTCTCGTTCTATTTTCCACGCAAAATTTAATATATTTCAAATATTAGAAAACGTGGAGTAGCGAAGGCAATGTATTTATGCATCCTAGACTGGTCTTTTGTCTGAGTATGTCCCTTTTCCTTGCCTCTGGTACAATATCTGGAGTAATTTTTTGGCTTTTATCTCGTGTATGTGCATGTGTATGTATGTAAATATATATGTATGGATGAATGAATGAATGTGTGGATATAATTTTTGACGACGATTTTGAGAACACGGATCAGCCGACTTGAATGATTCAAAAAAAAAAAATTTGATTCTTATTGATAAAGAGACGTCCAAGATAGGTCCAGCCGTTTCAATGATATGGACAAAAGTGCCAAAAATTGAAATTCAGTGTTGGAAAGAAGATGAAGCATCCGATTTGAATGATTCAAAAAACATTTTACTGGTATTAACAAAATGAAGAACTGATTTGATTTTTGAGGCAGCAGGTCTAGCGATTACGGAGGACTAATAAAAAAAAAAGTAAAAAAAATGCCATAGCAATCATTAAACATATGCATTTCAAATTATCAGATATTTTATAGAGATTTTAGTAATAAGTATGAATAATTGTTTTTATTTCTATGGATTCTGTACCAATATTTATCAGATATACTGCCATGCGGCGCTTACGCGCTTCGATATTTTGTTTATAAAACAGCTACGCAGCCCGATTGCTTTAAATAAAAGTTCATGATATTCAAAAAATGTCAAAATATAAAAAAATTAACATTATTCAAAAAAGTTAATTTTTTTAGAAAGTTTCAAACTTCTCAAAAATCGATCTTTTCAGTTTACAAATTAAATTAGTTTACTTAAAAATTTTAATTTTCGGTACGGGAAGTCCCAGCAATTTGCCTTAAGGCACGATGCAATGCACCACTAGTTTATATTTATTTTTATAAATGCTCTTATATATTGAACACATAGTTTTGTTTACATATATAGAGTACATATAATTTTTTGTTTTCAAAATATGTTAGTAAAATCGTTCCATCTAAAATATTGAAATTTCATTTCGACTTTGAAATTTGTTTCAGTTGATTTAACATTAGTTGAAACGTCCTGAAGATGTTTCTTTTGTTAATTTTGGTATCTCGACGATTCAAGCCATTATG